ATGATAGTAACAGAACAGGGGTGGTAAGTGACTCACAGCACAGCCTCCGAAGGCCCCAGAGCTTGTTGTGAGAGGAGTGTCTTTGACAGGATGTTAATACCTAACTTGTGTCCACAAGAGAGTTGGACTGTTGGAATTTTAGAGCTGGAAGAGGTCTGGATCATGTAGTTCAACCTTGAGCAAAGCGACAGGCTCAAGGTCCCCTGGAAATCGGTGCCATATCCAGGCCTAGATACAAGATCCTTAACAGTTTTAGTCAGAGCTGTCCCCTGTGGTGCCGGCTGGTCCTCGCTGGTATCGCTTGCAGTGACAGTGAGTGACGAGCTCGTGCTGAGAGGGGTCTGCACGAAATTTCTTCGAAGGGACTTATCCAGATCAAAGATTCTAGAACCCTGAGACTGTTTTCCATTGATAGTGCTCAGCTGTCTGACCTCCAGCAGAGCCAGGATTGGGTAAGGACAGCAGGGTAGACAGCAGGTCTCCCGTGGTTGAGCAGAGCTGAGGTCCCCTCCTTTGTCTCCTCTTAACTCGCTGACACTTTCCCACTGGTGTTCATTTTCTTCTCCAGGTATCCTGGAGCATCTTCTAAGTTAGGCCTTTAGCTTAATGTGGGCAGTGACCAGCCAATGACCCCACAGCCTGGCACAGGCTGGATCTGTGCCTTCTTCCCAGCAGCACCAGGGAGGAGGAGGAGCTATGCCCCTTAGTTGGTAGAGCCAGCTGTCCACATTCGCTCTCCATCAAGTCCAGAGGCAGCTGGCCAAGACTGCTTCTGATTGGTGCTCTCGGGGTCTTATGTTTCCTGTCTTCCAGCTTCCAGGGACTGTTATTTGGAACGGTTAGAAGCTAGCATTTCAGTTTTACCAAGGGGAAACCGAGGCCAGAGGAGCTGGAGAGAGAGCTTAGTTGATAAAGTGCTTGTCCTGTAAGCATGAGGACCTGAGTTTGTTGCGTAGGACTCAGCCGGGTCTACAGAGTGAGTCCAGGACAGCCAAGGCTACACAGAGAAACACAAAGACAAAAACCACTCAAGTGGGTCGTGCTGTAGTACAGGCTGTAATCCCAGAGCTGGGGAGGCAGAGGCAGGTAGATCCCGGGGATTCAGTGACCTGACAACATAGTCTACTCTGTGAGCTTCAGGCTAGTGAACGACCCTGCCTAAGGTTGACCTCTGGTTTCTATATGCACATGCGCAACCACACATATGTGCCAGTGCGCACACAGAGACACCGAGGTCAGAGAGGGAAATGTGTATACGACAACAGCTAAGGAGCTAGTGACCTAACCAGATTTCTGTCTTTTACATTTTATTTATTTAAAAAAAAAGTTATGTTCATTGATGTTTTGCCTGTATGTGTGTCTGTGTGAGGGTGTCAGAAGCCCAGAAACTGGAGTTACAGACCGGTGGGAACTGCCATGTGGTTGCTGGGAATTGAACCCAGCTCCTTTGGAAGAGCCGGTGCTCTTAAAGGCTTAGCCATCTCTCCAGCCCTATAACCAGATTCCTCACTCCTGTGCTACCTTAGTTTGACTTCTTTCCATGTGATAAACACCATGACTGAAAGCAATCTGGGAAGGAAAGGGTTTTCACGGTTCACTGTGAAGGGAAGGCAGGCCAGGAACTCAAGGCAGGAACCTGGAGGCAGGAACTGGAGCAGCCATGGAGGAGGGCTGGGTACTGCTTTCTGTGCATAGCTCATGCAGCCTGCTCATACCACTGGGCCTCCTGCCTAGAGAGGCACTGCCCACAGTGAGGTTGGCCCTCCCTTGTCAGACATTAGTCAAGAAAATGCCGTACAGGTTTGTCTGATGGGGGCAGTTTCTCAAATGATTCTCCTCTTCCCGGATAACTCTAGCTTGTGTCAAGTTGACAAAAAAACTAACCAGGACACATTCTATCACTAGAATTCTCCAGAGATGTATTGGCCATTCCAGAAGCTTTGGAGAATGAACACCTTAAACGAGGTCTGCCTGAAGTGAATTGTGCTCTAACTGTAAAGCACATACCAAGATCTCATTCATTCGTTTTATTTATTTGTTTATTTAGGACAAGGTTTCTCTATGTAGTCTGGCTATCCTGGAGCTTGCTATGTAGACCAGGATAGCCTGGAACACACAGATATCTTTGTGCCTCTGCTGGATCAAAGGTGTGCACCATCATATTCAGCCTTGCAATGGATTTGGGATTTTTTTAAGGTTTTATTTATTTATTATGTTCTGCCTACATGTACACCTGCATGCCGGAAGAGGGCACCAGGTATCATTATAGATGGTTGTGAGTCATCATGGTGTTGCTGGGAACTGAACTTGGAATCTTTGGAAGAACAGCCAGTGCTCTTAACCTCTGAGCCATCTCTCCAGCCTGGATTTTTTTTTTTTTTGAAACAGGGTTTCTCTGTGTAGCCTTGACTCACTTTGTAGACCAGGCTGGCCTTGAACTCACAGAGATCTGCCTGCCTCTGCCTCACCCAGTGCTGGATTCATAGGCATGTATTGGGCCACCTACACAGAGAAACCCTGTCTCAAACAAAATAAAACAAAAAGCCCCACAGAAATACATTTTGTATATATATTTTTTAATCCCAGGTGTGGGATATGGGGCTGCTTCAGATTCCACAGCAGCTGACTGTGATTTGCCTCATGCTCTAGCAGGGGTGTGATTTTCCCAGCTGCAGACAGTTTCTGCAAGTGTGTAACATTGGAAATTCTGTGAACTCTTGAGAGGGTGTAAATGCTAAAGCCCAGAGGACTGTGGCAGGGACTGCTGCTCTTGCTGGTTGCTGGTTGCTATTGTTACAGTTTGTTAAGAGGTCATGCCCCAAGGGTTGAGAAGCCAAAAATTGAATATCCTGATGGCAAAGATAAAACTTGCCTAAGGAACTCAAAGCCCCTAACCAGCAGGAAGTAGTCTAATGATAATTGTGCTCCCTTTCCCATTATTCTTCTTTCTCTCCTACCTAGTGTTGGGGGGGGGGTTGGAAGGGTGGAAAAGGGTAGAAAGGGTAAGGAACCCACAAAGTGTCAAACACCTGCTACAAGATATTTCATATGAAATGGAACAGGTCATTAAACTTAAATTAATCCAGTTTGTCTTTGAAACAAGGTTTCTACTTACTGCCCAGATTTGCCTCAACTTTAAGATCCTGTCTCAGCCTTCCAAGTAGTTAGAATTATAGGTATAGAATTATAGGTATGCCCAAATTAATCTATTTCTTTCGTTTTTAATTGTTATTTATTATTTTATGTGTATGGGTGTTTTGCTTGCATCTACATGTTTGCATCACATATGTACCTCACGGAGGCCAGAAATAGGCCCTGGGTCTCCTGGGACTAGAGTTACACGTTTGTGAGTTGCTGGAAGTAAAACCTGGGCCCTAAAGAGCAATCAGTGCTTTTAACTGCTGAGCCATTTCTCCAGCTTTCTCACCTGATTCCTTTTATCTTTTTTAATAAGACCCCTAGAAAAATATATGTATGTATGTATATGTGTATTAATTTGGATTTTAGTTCTTATAGCTAGAATTGCTTTCGAAGGAAGATCCTCCAGGAACCACATGGATCAGGGTGATTTGTAGAGGGGAAGCAATTAGCTAGTACACAGGGTCCTTCAGAGTTCCTGGTCTTGATGCCTTCCTGGCATTGAAACTTGGTTGGTGGGAGTTGGTCCCTCTCAATGGAATGGGGTACTGGCTTTGGGGGTGGTGGAGAGATAGGAAATGCCTGTTTAGGGCCTGGCAATAGGACATTGCTGGAGGGGGTAAGCTCATAGATTCTCTCTGGAGAATTCAGAGAGAATTCTCTCTGGAATTCAGAGGGGAGGCATTCATGAGAGGGAAAAAAATTACAGTTAATTTCTAATTAGATGGTGTGGCCTACTTCTATTTAGTGTTCCCTGCTGATTAGAACAAGAAAGGCTCTCTGAGCTCTGCCCCCACCCGGTTGTTCTCACTCCTGTCCCCAGATGGGCATGCATGAGAGGTGGGGTGGGTTGGGGCCATAGGTGCTCACATCCTGGAGCTGGGCTTTCCTCTTGCCACAACTCTCTGCCCTAGTCTATATTTAGGTGTTGGTCTGGGGAAAAGGATGTGAGTTTTTCAGGATCCTGTTTATCTAGCCAGCCCCCTCCCCCACCTCACAACTGTCCTGTGTAGAGTCTGGGACTTCCCCTTCCTTCCCTCCCTGCTTTACCCTGGGCACCCTGGGCCTCAGAAAGAACACAGTAGCACTGACACTTATTTCATGGGTAACATTTAAAATGTCCTTAATTTCCCAAGAGCCATCTGTTCTCATTTGTGGAGCAGGCGCGGAGACGCATACTTTGCAGGAATGCTGTGAGGACTGGATGGAAGGGGTATGTGTGAAGTTCCCGATGAGACACTGCACATAAATGATGGAAAGGTGGCTCAGTGGTTAAAAGCGCTTGCTGCTCTTGCAGAGGATCTGGATTCAGCTCCCAGCTTCCATATAGGTGTTCCCAACTGCCTGTAACTCCAATAGCGGGGAGCCAACACCCCTTTGGCCTTTTAGGGCACTAGGTACGCACATGATACACACATAGGCAGGCAGGTAGGTAGAACACTCAGAAAAATGAACATTGTTTGAAAAAGTTGGGCCCTCCAAGGTCTTTGAGGCAGGGGCTAAGGCTGCTGCTCTGGGCATACCAGGCGTAGGAAGGCGCTCAGACACATGGGATGTCCTTCGCATCAGCGGACATGCTTGTGGGGAGGTGATGTTGCAGAGACTTTTCCGTTTCCTTTTGTGCTCTGTTCATTTGGGTTCCAGGTTGCCATAGTGCTTTCTGTAGGTCAAGTCTCTCCAGGCACACCTACACTTTGGTCTAAAGGATGAAGTGAAACGTTAGATAAAATCATGTCAATCAGAGTGCCCGGAACATCATTAGCGCCCACTGAGGGGGGGCTGGTTTATCAGCATCAGCTGCCTCTGTCTGAACTAGGAAAAAACAAACAAACTGAATAGCTTCTCTCTATTTCTACTTGCAGCTACAAAGACCCCGTGTTAAGCGCCCATAGTCTGCTGGGGGTCCAGCCCCTAAAACCAGCACAGCCACCATGTTTAACCTCATGAAGAAAGATAAGGACAAAGATGGCGGGCGGAAGGAGAAGAAGGAGAAGAAGGAGAAGAAGGAGCGGATGTCAGCCGCAGAACTACGGAGTCTGGAAGAGATGAGCATGCGCCGTGGCTTCTTCAACCTCAACCGATCCTCCAAGCGCGAATCCAAGACTCGCCTGGAAATCTCCAACCCCATCCCCATCAAGGTGGCCAGCGGCTCTGACCTGCACCTGACCGACATCGACTCTGACAGCAATCGGGGCAGCGTCATCCTGGACTCGGGCCACCTAAGCACAGCCAGCTCCAGTGATGACCTCAAGGGTGAGGAAGGCAGCTTCCGGGGCTCTGTGCTGCAGCGGGCGGCCAAGTTTGGTTCCCTGGCCAAGCAGAACTCTCAGATGATTGTCAAACGTTTCTCCTTCTCCCAGCGGAGCCGGGACGACAGTGCGTCAGAGACCTCCACCCCCTCCGAGCACTCTGCAGCTCCATCGCCTCAGGTGGAGGTGAGGACGCTTGAGGGGCAGTTAATGCAGCATCCTGGGCTAGGCATCCCTCGACAGGGACCACGGTCTCGAGTCCCTGAGCTGGTCACTAAACGATTCCCCGCCGACCTACGTCTTCCTGCTGTGGTGCCCCCCCCACCTCCCGCCCTTCGGGAGCTGGAGTTGCAACGACGACCCACGGGAGACTTCGGCTTCTCACTGCGGCGCACAACCATGCTGGATCGGGCCCCTGAGGGTCAGGCCTACCGTCGGGTGGTTCACTTTGCCGAGCCAGGGGCAGGCACCAAGGACCTGGCCCTGGGCCTGGTGCCAGGAGACCGACTGGTGGAGATTAATGGACAGAATGTGGAGAACAAGTCCAGGGATGAAATCGTGGAGATGATCCGGCAGTCTGGGGACAGCGTGCGGCTCAAGGTTCAGCCCATCCCAGAGCTCATCGAGCTGAGCCAGAGCTGGCTTCGGACTGGCGAGGGACACCGCAGGGAGCCGGCTGATGTGAGTGCTTACCTGAGTGTCACCCATGTGAGCAGGGGGTATGGGCGTGTGAGCATCCCCGCCGGTGTGCTTCAGGGGGTGACTGAGGGTACACGGGAGCTGTGTGCAGAACTTACCCAGTGTGGAGAAGGAAAGGAGAGGGTACCGAGTGCTGGGTACCTGTTAAAATCAGACCTTTGCTTTATAGGGAGAAAGTTCTCAGTAATTCAGCTGAGCCCCCCCCCCATGTTTCCCTCCGATGTCCTTTTGGATTGACTGATGTGATTAAGTTTAGCCTTGTGAATTTTCAAGGGGGTTGGGTTAAGATCAGCTTTGGGGTGAAGATGCCAGTGTGTGGTTGGTGAGGAAGCGTTCAGTTTCATCATGTAGAGATAGCTTAGGGGCCTGCGCACCATATTTCCTGAACTCTAGGGTGTAGGTTAACAGGTGCTGCTCCCAGATCTGAGGGTATGTGAGCATCAACGTGTAGGAAGTCCATGTTTAGATCTCAGAGTTGAAAACGATGTGATAAATGGCTTGCAATACCGGCCAGTTCTGGGTGTATGGCTGCCGTGGTTACAGTTCTGGGGAAGATGGCTTCTGCTATGGGTGCCTCTCACCCTGGGTGAGCGAGACATTGAACAAGGGGTGAGATAGCAGGAGTCAGGTTGTAAAGAACTTGTAAGCTATGGTTGTAGTTTAGATTTATCTACACTACAGACACAGTTTGCAGCCTGACTGTCCCTGAGACCCGCCAGTTGTGACCTCCACGAAAAACCCCAGTGGGAGGCACGAGAGCAGAGGTTCAGATTGGGTAGGTGTCTACCTCAGTGATCTTTTGGTGCAGGAAGAGTGAGAGAATTTTGAATGTTCTGTGTGGACATGGCATATGAGGGACAAGCTAGCCTTTAGTCATTGTTCTTGTCCAGATGTGTTTTAGGACTGTCCAGATCGATGCCCTGCAGCCTGAGCTGTGTGTGACCTGCCTGGGACCTTTCAGCACTAAGTGACTAGCCAGATGTGCCAAAGTCAGAAAGAGGAGGCAGTGAGGAGGAAGCAGGCAGAGCTGGGCTCCCAGTGAGGGAGGCTGCTCGGGTGATGCTCCGTCTTGCAGTATGCTGCATGGATCCAGAGGAGGCTGAGGGAGGCGGGCCAGGCTTGGGCAGACTCACTGGACTTGAGTCCCAGGCCTTCCTTTATTAGTGAACTGGTTAGTTTGGGCAGCTTTGCAGAAGGGAGGCTAGTGTGTGTGTGGGCGGGGGGGGGTATGTGGAATCCAGAGAGAGACCTAGGCTCATTCAAGAGAGACACAGTGAGGGCCAGAGAGGCGGCTCAGCAGGCAGCACACTTACCACGCAAGTGCCGCCACTTGCGTGAGTTTAGTTCTTGGATCCCAGAGAACAAGGAGAGGACCAACTTCTAAAAATTGTCCCCTGACCTCCACATGCCTGTACGCATCCACACCAATAAGAAGAAATAAGAAGAAAAAGAGGACCCTAGAGAGATGGTTCAGCAGTTCTGCTGAACTCCCAGGTTCAGTTCCCGGCACCCACGTGGTGGCTTCCAACCGAACACAACTCCAGTTCCAGGGGCTGAGGCCCTCTTCTGACTTCCTGGGGCACCAGGAACGGAGAGGTGCATATACGCACAGGCAGGCGAAATGTTCAGACATGTACAGGCAAAATAAATAAAAATTTAAAAATCAGGAAAAGGCCAGGTGCAGGGGTGAGCGTCTGTAATCCCAGCACTCAGGAGACAGAGGCAGGTGAATCTCTGTGAGTGTGAGGCCAGCCTGGTCTAAGACAGCCAGGGCCATGTAGAGGGTCTGTCTCTCAAGCAGAAAAAAAGAAAAAGAAAAAGAAAAGAAAGAGAGAGGTACACCTAGCTAGGCCACCTAGCTAGGCTGAACTCAAGGAACCATGATTCAAAGGGACACGTGAAAGGGACATTTTTATTTCAGAACCAAGGTCGTAGTTTACGGCCATGCTTGTCCACGTCTCCTCTGCTAATACTGCTTTTAACAGATGGAATTTTTCTTCTTCAAGCATGAATCCCCTGAGGTATTGTTGCCAGCTCCCTGCCGAACCACAGCCAGGCCTCCGGGGGCCTGAGCCTGGCATCCCAGATGCCGCTGCGTTTACCCTTTATAGCTCAGGGACTATCCTGGTGTCTCACATTTCCCAGCCGCTTTCCCTTCCCAGCTAGCGGCTGCTACCCCATCCCCAGGGAAGAGGGTGCCTTAGCTCGGAGATACTGGTAGCATCTACCTCACGGTTGGTATCCCTGAAGTCCTGGCGTGCTCTAACTCCCCCTCCCACGGGACCAACGCAGCTGATGCCCAGAGGACTCCTTTGCTAGACCTAAGCCTAACAGACCTGACAGAGTGCGACATAGAAAACCCCATCCCCGTGATCGCTCGCTATAGAACACATAGGCTGAAGGAATCCTTGTACCTTCTTCCACTTGGGTAGCAGTGAGGACACACACAAGCAGAGGAGCAGGGTCAGCCTACCGCTTCCAGCTTCTGGAGACAGACCCCAGGATCCGCGTGGGGAGGCTTGCCAGCTCTCTTGAGGCCCTCAGCTTATCTCCTCTTCTTCTCGCTTCGACTTTTGCTCGTTTTCTTGGCATTGGTTCTAGCCCCACTTCCATGCCAAGAGTCTCCCTGAATCCTCTAGCATCTGGGCGCTACCCTGATGACAGTAGCTCCATGGGGATAGCTCCTGGCAGCCGCCCTGCCCTTCAGGTCGCCCATCAACTGTGTCCACACACGGCCTGTCTCCAGGGAACTCGGAGGGAGTTTACTAGCCATCTGTCCTCTCCCACGCACAGATGGGGGCTGAGGCCTCGTTCTCCGTGGCCTGTTTTGGAGGCCCCAGGGGTAGAGACAACCTTTGGGATTTCCTCTCACAGGGTGTAAGCAGAACGTGCAAACCCTTTTCGCCTGTCCCACAGCTACTAGATGGGAGCCGTGGAAGGCGGTGAGAAATGAACTGGAGTGGAAAGAGAGGCTCAGGGCCTGAGTGAGAAGAATGCCTTCACAGGGCAGTGAGAAGCACCTAGTTCTCACGCCGCTGCCACCTCTTTTTTGCTGCAACTGTCTACTAAGTAGATGTCTGTTTGAAGACTCAGCTTGGGTTTTGCCAGTTTCCAAACTTCTCTGAGCTCATTCCCCAATAAACAGTGTAGTCTGCTTCGGGGCCAGGCACTGAAGCATGAGAGATTAAACAAGGAAAATACGGCCTTTCCTTGAGGGAGCACAGACCTGGGTACGGATGTGCAGCTGAGGGCCAAAGCTGCTTTTGCATAAGGCTGAGCACATGCACAGAGGGTGGGTGGGAAGGAAGAAGTGGCTGGGTCTGACCCTAGGAAAGATGACATTCAGCAGAGGCCACCTTAGTGGAAGTAAAAAAAAATGTATCTGTTCTGTCCTGCCAGAGATTTAGGTTAGGTTGGATAAGCAGCGACTTTTCTCTAGGTGTCTGTGGGAGCGACAGAATAGGGGCCAGCAGGTTAGCTGGGCTGTACTCTGTGGGTTTTTATAGAAGGTGGGCATGCTTCTGTAGCAGGCGAGCTGCTGACTCCTGTGAGACTCTGGGAAGTGCCCCCCCCCCCCCATCTGTGAAGCCATCCAAGGATGCAGCTTCCTCACACTCTCCACTGCTTCCTCCTGGGAGGTTTTCTATCTACGGGATTGATTCCCAGGCCCTTGCCTAAATTTTCTATTTAAGATAGCCCCATGGCAGAGCATTGCTCAGCATGTGGGAAGGTCCTGGGTGTTATCCCAGCACTGAAATAAGTAAACAGATAAACAGCCGAAGGAAGAAAAGGCTGTCCCAAATCCTTATCCAGGTTTTTGTTAGTGGAGACTAGTGGCCGACTGAGTGGGCAGGGCCGCCTTCCTCTGGGAGAGGGCAGCAGTGTCCCTTTGGCTGCTGTGGAAGTCAAGACTCCTGGGTGGAAAGAGTGTGGACCACATTAACCTTGTCAACGAGGTTCCAGATGCTGTCAGGAAGGGGACCTGCAGGGTACTGAGGACAGCTTGGGAACTGGGCAGCCAGCTTCCAGGGTGGCCTGGCTGGCTGCTGGGCACTGCGGGTGCCCGAGGGGATGCTGCTGCTAGGTGCCGCTTGGGTTTCGAGTTCGGTAGTGCTTCTGTTCTTAACTTTTCCCCAAATGATCCTCAGAGGAGTTTTGAGGGGGTTTTCGGTTTGTTTGGTTTAAACAGGAAATTTTTATTTCATTTTATGCCAAAGTTTCCAGCACCTCTGGCATCAGGGTCTTCTTACCACAACGAGGGCCCAAACTAAGTTCGTGTTGGTAATGAAGGGCCAGCGGGCAGGTGTCAAAAGTGCAAGAAGTGGTGGGTGGAAGGTCCTGGAGGCTCCTAGCCCTTCACTGTCCTGGATTTCTAGGGTTCGTGAGCAGTGAGCAAAGCTAGGTCTGTTCTGCCCGCTCTCCTCTCTCTGTTTTTGGAGGCCCCATTCTGCCTTCTTCCTCCTGATGAACAGCCATCCCAGTGCTTCGGCCACCCAGCTGTGGGTGGTAGGCACAGTGCCTAGGCCGCATTGAACGGGGTGTGGGTACATGCCCAGGTCAATGGCTGTTTTTATAGGCGCAGCTTGGCATGGGGACAGGGCCTTAAAAGTAGCTTGCCCCGAGCCACCCAGGACACTGCCCTCTGCCCTCTGCTTCCTTCTAATCTTTTATTTACATTGAAATGGTTCTGGAAAATACCAGATAGGCAAGCACCCTGACTGGGGTGGCTGGGGAGTGGGGTGAAGGGGGGTGTGTGTGGCGGGTGGGAACACAAGTATTTTAAAAATGCTGCAAATCTCTACAGCGTTTCCCAGAAACCACAAGCATGTACGCTGCCTGCCAGCAGGGTCCCCGCCACCCCGCTGCACCAAGCAGCTAGATTCTCCCAGCGAAGCCTGGAGTGGGAGTCAGCATGGTGGGGGAGTGATGGGGATGAGGCAGGAGCAGCCCCGCTGCCAGGACAAGGTGCCTGGCGCCTCCGT